TCGATTTTTTTTTTTTTTATTTAATTGTATAATATCATCCTGTAATCGTAAACGCATATTCTTGCTTAAGTGTGAATAGAACGTTTGTCGAGTATCGCAACATTTTTGAATACATGAAATATGAAGTAAATGTAGCATAAATTATAATACGACTATTTTAACATACCGATGTCACTGAATGTAAAATATATGTCCAACATAAGCATAATGCGCGATCAATTTTGATATCAAGAACGCAAATTTGAAAAAGCACGACGTTTGCATATAATGTTTTAATAATGACGCTCTACGTCTCGATCAGAACAATTGAGTTGATAATTGAAATCTTTCCGGTCGACGTCGGGAGTGCGTTAACATCGGCGAGGAGAGGTTTTTACGCGCTGAAACGCACTCGTTGCAGATCCTCGGAACGACGCTGAGGTTGGCGTTCTCGAATTCGAGCTTCGCTCGCAAAAACGCAAACGAATAAACTCTTCGAATTGATCGCATGCACGCGCGTCCGATATAACTCGGGGTTTCCTTACTAGATGGAACGACAATGGGAGAAAGAGTTGTAGCATATTGAATGAATCATTGCCTTTTTAGCATTGATATGCGTGAAACAAAGGGGAACGTTTTCCGACATTTCGCGAGAATATTGCTCCTCGCTGATCATTTTTTTACTCGTAAGCTGATCCAGGATAAATCTCATTACCTTTTCCTTCTTAATATTTTTTTGTACATACATAATTTAGATAAAATCGATAAAATTAAAAAATTTACATTTATATAATTCAATAGCTGTGACAAGTAAGTTATATAGAAAAATAATAAAATTTTAATAATGTACCAAACGCCTTAATATGTACAAAACGTAGATGCGTAGACTGCATTGAAAATTAGATAACGAGTTTCGCAATCTCAAACTAATATCAATAAAATGTGATTCTCTGAACGATCACGATGCGCACGTTTCTCTGAGGCCAAGATGCAATATATAAACGAAATCAACCTGCACGTTATCTATTGGCTTTACTGTCTCATGCAATATATTTATTTCTATTTCTCATCCACGCTACATCGTAATGCTATTATCTCAGCCGGAGACATCTCGACACTGCGCTTTACGACGTAGTTTATCGACGTATCTATGCGACGCAGCTTCTCGTAAAGCGGTCAAGTTATTAAATAAGAACAATTCGAAGGCGCGTCGCGCGTGGGCGTTCATTCTTGAGCGGGTCTGAACCCCCTGATAAATCGCGGAACGAAAATACGCGGTCACTCGCGGTGTTTACGTTAGGAAAACACAGAAAACGTAAGCCACCGATATAAAGAGGCAGATACGAGACGAGGCGATCCGCGATATCCGCGTCCCTCCTGCCCACGCGGATTCACGGATCTCGTTGCCGGTGGGCGAACGGAGAGAGGAGAAACAAGAGCAGGTAGAAAGAGAGGCGCACGGCGGGGAACACGGGGGGGGGGGGAGGGTGGTGGAGACGAGGAAGCAGAAGAGGAAAAAGATATCTCGCGCTCGCCGTACTCGAAAATAGAAACAGCCGCGTTGACACTCCGCTACAAATTGTCCGCGTCATGACGCCGCCTCGCTTTAAGAGCCACGCGTCTCGCGGCGTTCGTCAGCTTCTATCTCTCGCACGGAGGAAAAAAAAGCCGCTGACCGAAAGATGATACCTGGGAGGGAGGGAGAGGGTGCGATCGATAAATCTCTTTTGCTCAGACGCTTCCGCATCCGATCTCTTGATCTCTTAATGGCCCGTCTATTTTCATCGCTGAGTGCAAACGACAGGGTAACGTGTCGCCCGACACGGCCTTTAAAAAGTTAAAGCTTTTTTAATTTTAAAAGCTTCTTTAATTTTAAAAATTATTTTCAAATTTATTTGATATCGTATCTTGTTATCTCTTGTTTATTCATTTTCGACTTATACGAATTCCAAGGGAATGTTTTGCCCGCGAGATAAACGATGAGGTTGTTGAATAATTAACTTGGGGCAAAATGCGAAAGAATCGGTGTCCCGACGCTGGTTCCATCCAAGTTCTTTCAGACGGAAATTCATGGTCCCGCTTCGTACGTACGAGGAGGATCACCATAAATCGATCGAGCGATACCCGACACACTCTCGGTTCGTTCTACCGATTTTCTTTTTTTCGCGACGCTTAATTAAATCCACTTTTAACGACCGTGCATTACGGTGTTTAAACTTTTTGTGTGCTATAATTGAATTAGAACAAAGCGAAATCCCTACGCGCATAAAAATAGATATTATAATCTGATCTTTTTCCACCGGAAAGTAGGAAAGTCAGTTTCGATCTTTAAAAGAAAAACAATGATTCTTGCTGTCACTCGTTAGATGCAGCCCATTTTTTATTGCACTTATACGAATGTGAATATATAAATAAAATTATGACTAAGTTCCTTTAAAAAAATTTTTCTTAATTAAAAAGAATTTAATTACTAATTTGCGAAGTTATCGATTAATTTTATTCACTCGAGCCAAAGAAAAATTTTTTATTTAATTTGCGCATTTATAATGTAAGTAATTGTTCCAAGTTTTAT